TGATGAGCTGGCATTCCGTCTTCAAACAAGACAGCACGGTAGTGACCTTGCAGTATGCTTTCCCCTATGTGGTAAATGATTGCCGTAACCCTGTATAGAGGAAGGTGATGATGATAATGATGATGATGATGATGATCTTTCTTTCCTCCGCCGCAAAGAGTCTTTGCGATGCGATGATGACCAACATGTTATTCATGAGGGTCCTTCAGGCTTTGCCTGGGTTAAAGGAGCGACCCCGGCCCGGTAGGCCCTGCAAGCAGGTCACTCAAGCTCTGAGCAATCTCTTTAGTGTATGGCACTCAGACATGAAGCCATGTATCTAGGTTAACTCGTGCTCAGAGCTTCTTTCTTGCGCTGAAAAAAGGGAAACTGCTAGATCCGATTCTGGGATCTACACATGTTCCTGCTGACACCTTTCCAGAAGAAATATGTACATCTTACTGCCCAGTTGTGGAATCTCGTTTTGTTTAACCCTTACGGCACGTTTACTATCTACTGTTATAAACCTTATTGAACCGGCTTCTAGCAGGACCGCTCTGATGTGGCCTTGCAGCAAGTGGGTATCCTCGTGTATTAGGATTGAGTGAACCACGTACGGCTCCCATTGTGGCTGGGTTTGTGAGTCAGTGAAATGAGGCAGGTCAACTTTCCAAGGCCCCGTTATTGACCCCTCTAGCTTGCTGCCATCTGCTCTGAACCTTTGGAGCTGCAAAGCCACCTGACTGAAGGGAGCATGGCGAGTCTGGGCTCAACACTTCAGGCATCTTGATTGGCCACGCTTTTCCGCATTGCACAATCTCGCACACACAACTGTGGGGTTCAGGATATGCACGGGATTGCCAAAGGCCTGTAGAGCCTGCGAAAAGCATGGGCTGCAAGAACTGCAAAAAGGCGGCTGGGTCTTGCGACCTGAGCGGCTGGCTCCATTGCTTGGCTATTGCCCTGAAAGCTATGTTATCCCATATTGGCTGAGGTTTGTGCTGCACTGAAAGCCATTGCAGGAACTTAAAAAGCCCAGCGTGATCCACACATAGTCCATCCTGTGAGCAACTGCTGGCCCAAAGAATGGAGTGAAGGACTGCATTAGAGTAGCTGAACTCATTAGGGTTGGGGAGGATTAACTGCAGGAGCGTAGACTTCTCCGGCCTCAGAGTTCTTGAAGCATCTTGTCGACGGCTGTCGCCAAGGGAGATCTTCCGAGCTTGCTCGGTCTGAGCGTCGAGGCGGCTAGGTGCGTGACACCGCTCCTCACCAGCCTGCTGATCAACTGGTATACCGCTTGGGCTTCCTGACTTCTGTTTTGGATTTCGAGCGTCCAAGGGATCACGTCGCTGGCCATTTCCGGCGACAGCTTGCGCAATGGGTGGAACCTCCCGATCGTGTTGGGATGGATGATCAATTGCTGTAGCTGAGCAAGGATCTGCAGAGTCTCCTCGATGCTCAAGGGGTCCTGGGACGCCTTGACGTGTTTGGATTCCTCTGGATTCCATTGCAGGTGGGAACTGATCGTCCACCAGTATACCCATTGCTTTCGCCTGCTCCTTCGTTCCCGGTTTGCTCGTGAACTCGTCGATTCTGTAGCGAATCGCTGTCAGCCAAGAGCTGAACAAAACTGTTCGTAGCGGCTGGGAAAGACTCTTCAGGTCGCGTTCTTTCTGAGAACGCCAGTGGTTCCCTACAGCTAGGAGCTGCGATGTCACTGTCCAGTCCGGGATCGTGTCTGTCGTTGAAGCCGGCTTGTGATTTTTCATAAAAATGACAAACTGGCAGTCCAACTGGATCACTGACAAGCTGTCTTCTTGACGGAGCACCAACTTCCCTAGTGCTTTGACAACCGACTTCAAGTCCTCGTTCTTGCTGTACCCTCTGTTGTCTTTGTTTTCCCACCAGGTCTTTTGATCTTGTCTGTACTCCTGCTTGCCTTTCCGCTTGGGATTCGTTCCCTTGCCCTGGCCTCTGCGCCACTTCGCCCGATCGTTGTCCCTGTCCGTGTCCTCGTTGCCTCCTCTCTTTGCCGTGCTGTCCACTGGCATCTCCGGGGCTTGACTGCTCGTTGCTGTAGTCGGAGTGTCCAGGCTCGGTGCCATGAAACTCTGAAAGCTGCTGAGCTCTTCCGAGGCTCGCTGCAGTTCCTCGTTGCCAACCGTAGCCATGGAGAGCACCTTGACCAGTAGGAATGAGGGAGGAGTATTTATGGAGCAGCTGTCCACACATCCACAACACAGGGCATGCATTACGATGTGCTTTGTTGGATGTGGAGTACTGAGCACCGCACCACTGACAGGGCTTTGATGGGATCTGGCTACTTCTAACCCACTCCAAGACTTGGGAATTTACCGCTTTTAACCAGGCATGTTGTTTGCAAGCATGTCTTGTGATACACATAGGTTTGCACTGCACGCAACACTCTGGACACCTGTCGGGTTTGCCATGTGTGCGCAAGTGTGCCGCAAGCTGAGAAAGATTGCCCGTCCTAGCAATGTCTTTTGTAGACTGAAGCTGGAAGACTGGTGTCATCTCTGTTGAGATTGACTGGCCACCCCTCGGCGCGAGCGCCCCGCAAGCAGGGGGGCCTGTGATTTCAGAGTCACCAGTTTCCGACATGACGTGAAGGGCCGGACAAGCTCGCTGATTGAAATGGGCCATAAACGCTGGCCAGCCGCTAAATTTCTTAAGGCACATGTTACATTGGGGAATACCCTCCTTTGCGTGCTTCATGATGTGATCATCTTTTCGCTCCGATCTTGCGGCATAGTCAGCCTTAGTCATTGCTATACTTGACTCAGGATGGGTCTTCCCTATATGAGTACGTAGCGCATGGAAACTGGCAAACTGCTGACCACATATATCACAGCTGCAGGAGACTCTGAGCACTTGCGTGACTTCTGTAAGTTCGCCTTTCTGACTTTCACTTGGTTTACTAAACAGCCTAACTTCACTGACAAGCTGGGTGAGTCCTTGGGAGACTGTCTTGGAGCGCAGGCGCCCAAGATTTCTTCTGCAGAGCTGGATTCTGGCGCAAATGGCATCACACAAAGCCAGCACAGGGTCTGGGACTTCCAGTCTCGCATGGAGTGAGGAATTGGATTCATGCGTTAAGTGTCCCGAGCTTTGGGCTATCCTACGGAGTTGTCTGGCTGTGTGGGACCTGTATTTTGCCGCACTTACTTCATCAACCCCAACTGAATCCAATCCATATCGGGCGATGGACTGAACGCATACCTTCCACAACCGCAGTCTTTGAAGAAGTGGGATTTGCTTGGAGCATAAAAGCCAGACAATCTGTGGAAAGCCTGCCAGGACTGCTGTAGCCTGTACTGCATAGTCAGCCTCTCGAAATGTTGATAACTGATTTTAATCCCCAAGTACGTGTGGGAGTTTTTGATGGGGAGGTTTATGGGCCCTGCCTTGCCAGACACCTGCAAATATCCCTCTTGCTTGCGACGCTTCACGTACGGTGCCGCGACTTGATTATAGGAAGGACCCGCCAGCGCTAGCAGTATTTCAGTTTTATCCACCGAGACCTGCATTCCCATTTCTGTGAGATCTGCCAGGATGTAGCCTACTTGAGCACAGGCGTTGCGAAAATGGCGTGGTTCATCCAGAACCCAATGCATATGCAAGTCATCGGCAAATCCTGAGATCTGATCAAGGGATAGGTATTGGGTGAATTTATCGAAAAATAATACCGTAAAGGCTACCCACAATAGTGGGGCTAACCCACAACCTTGACGAATCCCGCTGCCAGTTGACATCTTGACATTGTCATCTCCTTTACTAAAGCACATGAGTGCGTTGTCATGTATATAAAGGATCAACGATACTAGGTCCTCTGGCAGAGAGATCCTTTCAAGTGCTTGAAGTAGGCATTGTCGCGGGAGCTTATCGAAAGCTTTAGCAGGGTCTAACGATAGTTGCATACCCCCCGTAAACTTTGCCCTTGTGTGGCCTTGCTTAAACGGGTTGTATCTGTTTTCAGCTACCCTGCACCTGACTTGTTGACAATGCGCCATCACACGATCGACGGCATCGGCTGTTTGCCGATTCCTCGTGTAGGCAAACTGCGGGATGGACGAGACCGCTTCCAGCAAGAACGGTTTCATTCTCTGCGCCACGACGCGAGCTAGCAGTTTCGGTATTGCCGGCAGAAGACTTATCGGTCTGAGATTTGCTGGTGAATTTGGCGGCTTCCCCAGCTTGGGGATGAAGGCAATGTGTGACTGGCGCCAGTCATTTGGCATGTTAATTAACCCAGGGCTAAACCTATGTTGAAAGTCCTCGTGAAGGACTTTAACCACGTATTCAAATCCAAGACCGGCTGGCGCTTGTCCTTTCGGAAGAGCTTTCTTGCTGGAAAGACTTTGCACTGCACGCTCGATCTCCTGCTCTGATACGTTCAGAGACTCTTGCAGGTGCCACTCTGGCAAGAAAGACTGGAGGCTCGTCGCTGGAGAACACTTTCCCAAAGTAATCGTTAATGACTTCAAGGTACGTGGCCCGGGGGGGTCTTGTCAAAGCTGTAGCAGTCAAGGTTTCCGCTTCCTGGTAGATGTAGCCATTGTGCTGGTGGGAGGCGAAGATGTTTTGCCCAGCTTCGCGTACTCCAGTATCTTCGATTTTTGGAGCGGCTGCTGCATAAGTCGAAACAGCAGACGCAATTTCTCATTGAAGCCAGATAATGTTTCGAAGCTGCTTTGTAGCAGAAGTTCAGCTGTCTCCTCGCCTGTTTGCTCATGGAGCTGCAGCCTGAGCAGTTCGTAGCTAACTGACGTGACATGCTTTTCCTTCTCGAAGTCCAGCGAGTCCCAATATGCGTCATGGTACTCGTCATTTCGACCAGAAAACTCTTCGACAAATGGCCTCCATGCCTCTCTGAATCTGTCCAGTTGACACTTTTTCTATCGAAGATATGGTCGAACTGCTTGCGCGACCTGTTCAGGCTCCATTGTGGCAAGTCGCTTTCTAAGCCAAGCCATTTTGGTTGACCGTACCCTGTTAGGTACAGCTTGCTCTCCCATGTCCTGGTAAGCCAGCTCAGAACAAGCATGACGGTAAATCTCACGCGCATACTCAATCCATACAGTTTCCCTGGATTCTTATACTCATTTCGGGCTTGCATCCGAAATCGAGGCCAGGATGGAAGCGTGCAGCAAGGGATATTCCAGTGCCAGACGCGCCTCCACTTGTCTAGCGTTCGGATACGGTAACACTTCACGTGTAAACGCCAGCAGGTCCGCTCCTGTAAGATTCCTCGTGAAATCAAGAGCCAGAGTATTGATGACTCGTGCGTTCTCACCAGAAGATCCAATCTCCGCCAAGTATTCGGAAATCTCTTCCAGTATGCGAAAACGGAAGTGCTCAATGGGCAGTATGGTTGCACAGCACGTCGCCGCTATGGCTTCAGAGAAACTGGTATTTACTTTTTCTATGCAAGGATAAACTAAGATAGACTAAGATAGGACACAGTGAATCAATGAGACAACATGAGAAAAGCTGGTTACTTCCCCCGGGGCCCCAGCGCTGAGAGCCCAGATGCTTGATGATGATGATGATGATGATGATGAAGGTGGTGATGATCTTCTTCTTCAACCGCCGCAAAAGGGTCTTTGCGTTGCGTACGCGACTGCCATTGTTTTAGTGGGAGTCGTGTGGCAGCTCCGGCCCGATAGGCCCTACAAGCAAGCTACCACTGACTTGGCTTAGATCACTCATCCAGAAGGTAAATAGCAGCCATGTATCTAGGTTACAGTATCCAAGCCAAGCCCCTGTTCGGCATGCCGAATCACTGCTTGAAACGCTTTGCGTTTCCTTTCGAAAAGCTGCTCTAGACAGTCACTGGTTTGTGTTTAAGTATGACTATGTAGGCATTCTGACAGATTTGGGGAATATCTTTAGCCCTGACTTTGGTGGCCCGCTTGCCATCTGTTGTGAGGAACCTAGGTGAACCATCCTCAAGCAGGACCGCACTACAGTGGCCTTGCGATACAGTCTCCCCTGACTGTAAGATGATGGCGCTCACTTCATGGGGAATGGGCTGAGTTGCTAAGGTTTGACCTATGAACAGGGGATGTCTATGCTCCAAGAGTCCAAAAGGGAGAATTGTAGCTTATTTCCCCTATCATCAAACCGGTGTATGCGCAAGGCCAGCACAGGCGATAACTTGCTCAGCCCGTGAACCTGGGCTTGACCGTGCCACTGCAGCATAAGTGATTGAAGCGAGCACGGGTTTGCTGGGCTCAGGACGGCAGGGAGTGATATCGGCCACGCGTGTCCGCTTGCCGAAACCTGGCACAAGCTCTGCACTGGGCTGGCATCACTGAGAGATCTAGCTTGCCATTCACCTGCTCCTGCCGTGAAAATCAGAGGCTGAAGGTAGTGCAAGAAGGCTGCCGGGTCATGATGCCTTAGGGGATGAGACCATGTTTTAGTCAAGGCTTGCCACGCCAGAGTCTGCCACAAAGGCTGAGGCTTTGACTGAGTGGAGAGCCATTGCAAGAACTTGCGAAGTCCCGGACTTGCAATCGGAAGGCCATCCTGAATGCAGCTTGCTGTCCACAACAGCGACAGGAGAGTTGCGTGTGCATAGCTACGCTGATGAGGATTGCTAAGCTGAAGCTGCTGGATTTTGAGCTTCGCCGGCCTTAAAGTTCCTGGATCATCTTGTCCACCGCGATAGCCAGCGGAGATCGTCCCAGCTTGGAAGGTCTCAGGGTTGAGGCTGCCAGGTGAGTACACCCGTTGCGAACCAACCTCCCAATCAGCGTGTAAGCGGCTTGGGCTTCCTGCGTTCGGTTCTGGATCTCTAGAGTCCAGGGGATCACATCTGACACCATTCCCTCTGTAAGCTTCCTCAGTGGGTGGAAGCGGCCAATCACGTTGGGATGGATGATGATCTTCTGCAGCTGATCGAGGGTCTGGAGGGTGTCCGCTACAGTCAGGGGATCCTGGGCGATCCGAACATGCTTGGACGCTTCGGGGTCCCATTGCATGTGTGGGAAGGTATCGTCTACCTATATCCCCATCTGGATCGCCTGATCCTTGACAGAAGGGTTGCTGGTGAACTCGTTGATCCGGTACTTGATTGCAGTCAGCCAGGAGCTGAACAGGACTGTGCGCAAGGGCTGCCTTAAGGCTTTCGGGCCCTGAGCCTTCCGCTCCCACCAGTGGTTGCCGACCGACAAAAGCTGATTCGTGATGCTCCAATTGACCGCCTGATCTGTGTCCGGCTTGTTCTTCATAAAAATGACGAACTGGCAATCGAGCTGCATCACCGAAAGGCTGTCCTCCTGGCGGAGCACTAGGCGGCCTAGAGCCTTGACTACATTCTTCAAGTCCTCGTTTGACTTGCTGTAGCCTCTTTGGCCTCGGTCCTTTTCCCACCAAGACTGCTGCTGGCTCCGTTTGCCTTTTGGGCGCTGCGTTCCCTTGCCTTGTCCGCGTTGCCACTTGGCTCGCCCCTCCTCCGGGCCCGTCACTGCGTCCCCCTCTCTCTTCGAGCTGCGGTCCAAAGCCATGTCCGTCGACGCCTGACTGGGAGCCACTGTCGAGGTCGGAGTGGTCTGGGCGGGCTTCGCTCTTCGGCCGCTCTGGCCAGCTCCTCGTTTCCAACCGTAGCCATGCAGTGCGCTTTGACCTGGAAGGGTCAATGCGGAGTACTTAAACAAGAGTTGGCCACACGCCCAAAGGGTTGGACAGGCATTTCTGTGCGCGTTCTTGCTTGTAGTGAACAGAGCGCCACACCACTGACAGGGGTTGCTCGGAACTTGACAGTTCTTTGCCCACTCTAGCACTTGAGCATGCGCCTGCTGAATCCATGAATGCTGTTTGCACACATGACGTGTGACATACATATAGGCTTGCAATGAACGCCGCACTCCGGACAGCGATCAGGCTTGCCGTGCTCTCTAAGGTGCTTGGCAATCGAGCTCAAGTTGCCCGTTTTTGCAACAGCTATAGTGCTTGCCAGTCGGAACACGGGAACGGGTTCCTCAGCAATGGCTGCGCTTGATGTCCCTTCCGGCTCGAAAGCCCCGCAAGCAAAGGTGACATCTGATGGAGTCTCCGCGCCAGAAGCATCCCGCTCTGGTTTCCGCTCTGTCGCATGCAAAACCGGACAAGCTTGTTGATTAAAATGGGTCATATAAGCTGGCCACCCAGAGAATTTTTTCAGGCATTGATTACACTGAGGAAGTCCCCCTCTAGCAAATTTAAGGTGAGTATCCCTTCTTTCAGCTCTTACAGCATATGAAGCGTGAGTTTGCGCAATACTCAGCTCTGGATGCTTCTTGCCTATATGCGTGCGCAGAGCGTGGAAGCTGGCGAACTGTTGTCCGCACGTATTGCAACTGCAAGCTATGCGTGCAACCTGCGTGATCTCCGTGAGCTCACTCTTTTCATGTACTGTGATTCCTCTATGTAACTCCATTTCGCTCACGAACAGCGTAAGCCACTGAGCTACAATTGGAGGATGAAGGTGCGATAGCTGATGCCTGGCTTTTCGTACCCTTACTCCTACTTGATCACACAAGGATGCAACCGGGCCCGGCACTTGCAAACGTGCATGCAGTTCTTGATTGGACTCATGAGTGAGATGCGCAGGGCTACCCGCTATACGTCTTAACTGCCTGGCTGTATGTGCCCGATATGTACTAGCGCTTACCTCATCCAAACCTACGGCATCCAACCCATATCTGGCAATGGACTGTACACAAGTCCTCCACAAGCGAAGCCGCTGCTGAAGCGAAAGCTGCTTGGAGCACAAGAAGCTAGACAGGCGATGGAAGGCTTGCCATGACTGTTGGAGACGGTACTGCATGGTGAGCCTTTCATAGTGCTGATAGCTAATCTTAATGCCTAAAGACGAGTGCGAATTTTTGATAGGTAATTGAACCGGTCCATTGCCTGTCATTACCTTGAGGAACCTGTCCTTTCTGCGTTTCTGCACAAAGGGGGCAGTAACTTTGTTGTATGAGGGTCCCGCAAGTGCTAACAAGATCACCGTTTTATCCGTAGAGACTTGCATTCCCATATCAGCTAAGTCAGTAATAACAAAACCGACCTGAGCGCAGGCATTTCGAAATTGTCGGGGCTCCTCTAAAGTCCAGTGCATGTGGAGGTCATCTGCAAAACCCGTGATTTGATTAATGGGAAGGTACAAGGTACTGTGCGAACTTATCGAATAACAACAGCGTGAACGCTACCCATAGGAGAGGAGCAAGGCCGCATCCTTGGCGGATGCCGCTGCCCGTGCGAACGGTAGCTGTTTCGTTGCCCTTCGAAAAGCTCATCATTGCATTGTCGTGTATGTAGAGAATGAGGGATATCAAGTCCTCAGGCAATGATATGCGCTCCAACGCAGTGAGAAGGGAATATCTAGGCATTTTGTCAAAGGCCTTTGCCAGGTCCAAAGACAGTTGCACGCCACCCGTGAAACGCGCTCTGCTCTGGCTGGGCTTGAATGGATTGAACCTGTTTTCCGCAACCCTGGATCTTATTTGATGGCAGTGTGAAATGACACGGTCGATGGAGTCAGAGGTTTGCCTGTTATGAATGTAGGCAAACTGAGGTACATATTCCACAGCCTGAAGGAGGTATGGTCGCAGGCGTTGCGCTGCAATCCTTGCAAGCAGCTTCGGAACAGCCGGAAGCAGACTGATCGGCCGCAAATTTGCAGGTGATGTTGGGGCCTTACCAGGCTTTGGAATCAAAACTACATGCGAGGTGAGCCAGTCTGCCGGCATGCTTATCTCACCCGGCGCAAAGCGCGCCTGAAAATCTGCGTGCAGTGCATCTACGACAACCTCTGCTCCGGCCTTCCATAGCGCAGCTGGGGCTTGAAATTTGGGGAGGGCTTTCTTACTTGAGAGGCTATCAATTGCTTGACGGAGCTCTGTCTTGGTGATGTCCAAAGCAGATTGGAGGTGCCACTGTGGCAGGACTGGAGGCTCTGCTCAAAGACGCGACCAAAATAGTCTGTGATGGTGGTAAGCTCAGAAGCATTGCTTTGTAACTGACCCTCCGAAGACTTAATGTGTACCGCTCTTTTGGGGTGCTTGGGGCGCATCATGTTCATACATTTATAGAGGTGCGTTAGGCCTTTCTGATCGGCATTGAGAGCTTCCTGGATCTGCCCCTCCAGCTTATCAGAGCGTGCCTGCTGACTGCGCTTGCGTAATGCCGAATTGAGACACTGGAAGCGGGCCGTCGCTTGCCAGCATTTCAGGAGGTGCTGCAAGTACTTGCGCGCCGTTGCGGGAAGCTGAGATACTCGATCAGAATGCTTGGGGGAAAGGATCATATAGCCATCTACTGGCGACCCATTTAATGACTGAAGACGTCTTTTGGCTGACCAAAAGTTCTTCAAACATATGGAACCCGAGTGTGAGGATGTAATCGGCAGAATGGCTGTGGCTGGGCGGCACTGTTCCCACACCTCCTGCAGTTGGGAATCCAACTGTTCAGCTGTGCAGCTGAGCTGCTGGAGCTTGCTGCGAAATTGATCCAAGACTTGAGGAAATCTGGTGCAAACGCGCGCTACCTGAAATGCCGTTGTACTCTGGGAGCTCTTAGTTTGAGGAGCTTTTGGCCATTCCAAAAAGCATTGCACGGGGATGTGTCGGAACCCAGTGGGATGGACTATTGGGGCCTGAGGTAAGGTTGTGGACCAGATGTGCGACAAGGTGCAAGGATTACGGACCAATATGAAGTCGATCTTGGGACCCTCCCCTGTATGGGTCGAAAACGTAGAAGCTTTTTGGCCAGGCTCCCTCCATCTGTTGACAGCATTCAGGCCAGCAGTCTGAATTAAGGATTGCAGAGCATGGCCGTCCTTCTTATGTAGATGCGAGTGACCCACTCCCGAGCCTACATGAGGGTGTTGGAGGTACAGGGAAGAATTGAAATCCCCTAGTATTCCCAGCAAGTTCCTTTTGGGGACTCCTGCTATCCAGCCCTGCATTTTGTGCCAAACCTCCTGTCTCTTGTTTATTAAGAGCTGCTCTGCCGGAACAGATCGATGTTGAAACACGGATTTTGCTGGGTTCCAGGCATGCTGACACACACAGAGGAGGTCAATTGCCGGATTACTGCATATTCGGACATGGAGCATACGACCAGGGCAGATTTCTGCGCGCTTAATGTCTGTGCTGGAAAAGAAATGTGTGTTCAGCATGATCAGCACCCCTCGTATGCACAGCACATGGATTGGGCTGGTTCGGGATTCTGCCGAAAGACAAGTCCTGACTTCGGCTTGTCTGGCAAGGTTGAAGCCTCCAGAGTTCCATGTGATAACCCGAATGCGGCGGTGGCTGTCAGCTTTGGTTGGAGCTCTGGGTCTGGCTAGCTTAGCTGATTTCCACTCTACCCCCAACTGCTTGGCTGACACGCACCTGCCTCTATAGACTGCGGAGCCTGTGTCGAGTGCTCGGTGCTGCGCTCGCTGGAAAGAATGTTTGCTGGAGCAGAGGTTGGTGACGCCTACAGCGTGTGGGGTATGTAGAGCAGTGTGGCCTGAATGAGGCGCGGGGGCAGCTGAAGCTGTGTGCACCAGCATGGCAATTGCCAGCAGAAAAGCTAAGCGCCCGGAACATTTCCGTGGGCCTGATCGATGGGCTTTGCTCTGCTCAGGAGGCACTGCGGGCAAAGGAGGCTCTTCATGAAGGGTTACTGGCCTTCTAGGGCAGGGTTTCGGGTTTCCGGATCTGTCAGAATGCGGCGGGACAGGGATGGCATGGCTTCTTTCTTGTACATGGAGAAAGGCATGCTTTCGCTTGTGCAATGGAAATCGCCCCGTAGAAGTGAGGGTTAGGGGTACTGAAGGTCAACAGCCCCTTGAAGCCGAACATTTGAGTCTTCATAAAACCCAATTTGAAGCAAACCTTTTTGACCAGACTTTCAAATTCAGGGATCCCCAAACGATCTATATGCACGCAGGCTGCTCCTTCTTTCAATCTTCAGTAGCTTTTTTAGTCCTCCGGACTCAGGACCGGAGCGACCCCGAACACGACAAGGTGTTGTCCTTGCCATCGTCCTTGATGTAGCTGGGTCAGTCCCCGCTTCCCCTGGGGCAAGCATAGAGATCCACTTCCAGCGATTCGTGGCGTTCACTCTCGCCATCTGTGGGCATTCCACGCATCGAAAACTCCATGAGGTCTGCCTTCGAGTCTGATTCCAGAAGGGTATAGACCAGCAGTGGGAGCATGTCTCCAACTCCATAAGCAGATTTTGCAACGGCCGTTCGCAATATGCTGCTTGAAAGCCATGCTGTCGCTGAATGCAGGAGTGGAGCATGTCAAGTCCCAGCTGAAAAGCCTGCTTCCTTCTGTCGAAGGACAGATTCCCATTTCGAAGCCAGAATGTAAGGAGCCATAGGTCATTTTCGCCGATGAACTTGGAAGTGAGCTCCTGCCAAATGACCCGAGTTTCCTCCAAGACATCACCATTGTGGAGGAGCTTCTTGTCTATCCGCCGACCCCGGGGGTCGGCGTCAGTGAAGACCCATTGCCCCTCCTTCACTTGCCCTGTATCCTCGCTGCGGCTATGAACCGCCCCACCGCCCTCACCGCCCT